GGAATGATCACCAGTTTTATTAATAACCTGATTGTCAGACAAATTCTCCTTGTCATCACTAGAGAAAATGTCAAGATGACAGTGTGGAGAATATATATGCATGCCAATATTAGTGTGTAAAAGGTTAATTATTTTATGACATGCAGTGACTAATTTACATTATAACATAGCTTGGAAATTCGTGCAATCAAATTCAATAGCGTGAGCGCGCTTCAATTTTCTATTGTGCATGGTGGTGACATCAGCAAACAAATGCCTTGCGAAAAAATTTTTTCTCATGAGTGACTTCAGCATTTTTCATTAAAAAAAAAACCAGAAAAACTTTCACAAAAAAGTTAATCTAGACATCGCAACAAGCAAACAAGCCGATGAAGATCTGCCTACTTTTTCTTTGGGAATGGATTCTTTAAATCCCAAGAAAGAACCCAGAGAAAGGGAAAACAAAACGATCAATGGTTTCATTTCCACACATGAATTCACCTGTCAGCTTTTGACCAATCTGAGACAAGATCATTGAAGCATGGCGAAATACTTTTCCGAAACAAAATAAACAACGCATTGAAGCATAGAAGAGGGAATTTCTGCCCTTTATACATAAACTACAGTGTTGAAGATGTTATAAAACAATTGGTTTATACGTCAGCTGTGCGTTCATCGAGATATGAAGCACTTGGGAAGTTTGGTGAGCACTCAAGAAGCTAGAGTTGCTCGAGGCATAGCCTCGAGCAACTCTTACACATCTTTTGTGCTCTCCAAACTTCCTGCGTGCTTCATATCTCAATGAACACACGCTGACATATGAACCAATTGTTACCAAATTGTACCAAATATGATCAGTGCAGAAATTAGGATACATCAGTGCATTTAATTATTATGCTAAAGTAGCATCCTTTTGATATATGTATATTTCCTCTTGAAATTCAATGATTTTTAATGGCTGATAAACTGCTGCTACAGGAATAAACAAATTTCCTGCCACAGGAATAAACAAAATTTGCTGCTACAGGAATAAACAAATTTGTAAAATCATTGCTTACCCTGTGTGTGGACACTTTTTAGCTGTGCTCTTCAGTCCATACATACACTATATACCTCTGTCATTTTTTCTTTTTTTGTATAAAATTTAAATGTTTATTTATTTAATTAGTTACAGGGTACCTGTGCTAGCATCAAGGGCAATTGACTTTTACTGAGGCTGAGGCTGATTTTGTTCCGGTTTGTTTCAACAGTGAAATGACTTATCCCATTCATGTTGAAGCCATCAACACTCTGTTGGTCATGTTATCGGTTCAGATGTTTGACTCTAGTGCATTTCACAGTAGTATCTTCTATCAGGTTATAATGAACGGAAAATGGTGAGAATTTATAGTTATTGATTATATGCCTAATTAGGAAACTTTTACTTTTTTTTTGTTACCTCATGAAATACAACATTTTTTTAATGCCTGTCAGAGTATTTACATGTACACTTTTGTTTTGATACACACTAAGTTACTTGGCACATGCCTCTTGACATGTTGAATGAAAGCCAAATGCCAAAAACAGTTTAGAATTAAAGCTATTTTTGAGTATTTGTCAGAATGAGCAAAGAATGATACTTCCTCTAGGTGAGCACTTCAAGAATTTTGATTCTGTTTTGAATTATTGACTAGTTATCATTGAAAATTATAAATTATGCTTGCACTGCCACATGAAGTTGGCAGATTTGCATACTTTTCAGCTTACATTAGGAAATAAAGGGTATGTTTTACCAACAACAATCTTTGACTGAATTGGGCATATTCTATTGCATTTATTATTTATTATTATTTATTATTTATTATTATTTATTATTTATTATTATTTATTATTTATTATTATTTATTATTTATTATTATTTATTATTGGGCATATTCTATTGCATTTAGCAACTCAAGTGCAAATGACCTTGTCAGAGTTCTTCTCAAAAACTTCATCAAAAGTGACAAGACGCCTGCAGAGCTTACAACAGTTACCAATGGAGGCTGGTTTTGTGAGTACTTAGTAAAGATGCTGGCCAGGAATTTTTCCTTAATTTTTACTGTATTTAAATAACAAGTGTACAAAACATTGATGGCAAGCCACAGTGTATAATGTGAATGTTAGGGATAGAAGACAAAAGTAAGGATTGTATTTTACAAACACTGAATAGGTACCAGTAGAAAAGAAAGCAGAAAAGTGGCCCATCGGGACAGCACTTAACACTGGTTTCTGTTGCATGAAGCAACTAGGAGTATTTCTACTTCCCTCTCCCCCCCCCCCTGGATGGAATGCTAGTCCATCACAGGATTACCCCCTGGGCATTAAATTCGCTGGTATCCATTTAATTCTCCTGGGTGAAGAGAGGCACTGTGAGAGTAAAGTTTCTCATTCAAGAACACAACACAATGTCCCCAGCCAGTGGACACTGAAGTGATAGTCTAGGTTTTTATTCCATTTAAAATACAGCTACTGAAATGATTACTTTATTCATGAGACATTATGGCCTGACCATGTAATAGTTAGTGTGCTTCCTCCCCTCCCACCCAAAAGTGACTCTCTCCACCCGGAACCAAATGTATTGGTGCCAGAGAGCTGCCAGCAAAGCCCAAGGACGATGAAATACCAAAGAGGAGGGGGACTTGTTTTGAACTAGCATCATATGCAAGAAACCTCAGAATAACACATTCCTTTTTCATTTTTTAGCTGGTGTATTGTTGTTTTCTTTTTCATTTTTTAGCTGGTGTATGGTCATGGTTTGGCTCTCAAAGTACAAGTGAAGATGACTCCTCTCTTTTGGCTAATCAGAGCTTATTGTTGTTGCTTGTTCTTGTTAATCACTGCACGCAGGACAAGAGGAAACTAAACCCATATAGACATGCTCTGTTTAACTTTACAAATAGGAAACTTAAAGGTACTATTCAAAAGATAGTCATCTGAGATATTTTTCAAAATTTTTTCAATCAATGTATGTTAAAACTGCAGGTTTAGGAAATGTTTGTCGTGGTATTTTGAACTTTTTATATAGAAAATACAATGGATGAAGACAACTTGGAGAAAGAAGGGGACCCACCCTTTACACTCCACATAGGAATGCTATTCACAGCAATCTGCAGGTTGGTATTGATTATTATTATTATTATTATTATTATTATCATTAATATTATTATTATTATCATCAACATCATCATCATCATCATCATCATTGTTATTATTATCACAGAGAAATCAACTTAGTGCTACATTCTAATCAGGCAGCACAGGGCAAAAACCGTAACCTGTAAGCCATGGAGTAAAAAATAAATGTACATTAATTAACCCTAAAAAGCTTTTCTGTTGTGTCTACGGTCCTCCTTCTAACAGGAACTCAAACTGCCACCTTGAAAGTCCGGGAAATATTCAGCGTGCCCGAGAGCACTGCCCTCTGCATCTTTCGCAGTACGTCTGTGCTTCTGCCTCCCACCAGCTCGCACATCATGACATCCAGCTCCTGTGACCACCCCCGAGGGCATCCATAATGATGTTATTT